ATAATCTGTAATTTCTAAATTTAACAAAATTACTAACAACATAATACCACAACATAAACAATATTCTTATAACTATTAGCCAATATGGCATACAATTATTAACTTAATTAAATCATACAGACACAACATTACACTTTACAAAGTATTAGTTCATGAAGGCAACATATTTAATAATAAAGCAGATAAGCTTGCATCAAACCACAACTCAACAAATTTTCTAGATATATGATACTACAATATTTATAATACTTCATATACTATACAATATAACCAATATACTATTGAACAACCTACCTGATAAGCAATCAAAAATATCTGCAATACATACATAATAGCTATGTAGTCATCTCAAAATCAGATAAACAACATTATTCCTTTATCTTTACAAATTAACTGAAAAGCAACCTGGCTATACCTAAATAACAATATTAACAGAACTAGCTCATATACAAACTTTACACTTAGTAATAGTAAATTCTTTAAAATTAAACTACAATTTAACATATTACCTATTCTTTTTCATCTTCACAACTTATACCCAGAAATAATAACTAGCAATAACTATATTACATATCATATACCAGAACATTCACTACATTAGATTCTTTGTTTAAACTCTATACTTCTTACCAAGCTTATTTAAAAAACAATAACAGAAACAATTACCTATATTACTAATATTACTAGCACTCAAATTAATGAACTATAAGAAATACTTTTACAACACAATAGTCTTTCTTTTAGTAATATAATTCTGCAACAAATTAACATTTATACAACATTACAAGGATATATGCCTACTAGTCTTATTTCATTAATTAGATTATTTACTCAATTACAAATAGAAGCAAAAAATATTACTACAAAATTTCTATATAAGCTGTCTCAAAAAGTTCATAAACAAATATGGAAACCATATTGTACAAAACTGGTACAATGAAAAAAGGATAATAACATTTTACAATATACCAAAAATCAACAAAAAAGACCTATACAAATTAATCATAATGATATATACCATATCAATAGACATCAATTACATAGTACAACTTGCAATCTATGTGAACTATCAAGCTTAAAATACATTGATCCAAATACTTGCCTACCATTTGGTCATGCTTTACATAAAATTAATTTATAGCTTAACTATTGGATACTTTACAGTTACTTTACAAACAATATTTTATACTATCATTCTAAATGAGTTTTAACTATTCTAATAGGTTTAGGTTGCAAATAAATTAAATAGATAACAGTTAGTTTCTCTCTATAGTCTGAGCTTTACTCTTGTAACAAATTTGTAATTAAAAATAAATTTTGTAATTTATATTCAGAGAAACCTCTGAAGGCATCTTTAACAAATTAATAAAAATATGAACAAAACCTTACCTTAACTCCAAAAAAAAAAACAACAAATTACTGACTTTAATCCAATACCATAATTTTTATATGAAAATTTTTTGGGTAGCAATTTAACCTAGATATCAAAATCTGCTGGCTAACAAGAATAACTATTATTATAAATTTCTATTAAATTAAATATATAAGCAATTGAACCTATAAACTTATTCATCACTTTTTATTTTGTCAGACTTTGCTCTCAAAAAACCAAATCTAGTTCTTAAAATAACTTCCATTTTAATAAATTCACTTGATACAAAGCAATAGTATTATTAAAGTAACTAGATCGAGCAGTTGTGTAGTATTATTACATGTAATTATTTTGGATCAATTTTACAAGAACCAATCTGATAAAATGAATGATAGTAAATAATCACTTATATAGAGTGTCCCAAAGTTCCTATACATAGTCCCTAAAAATATACATATGTATATTGTAAAATGATGCAATAATACTGGCCAAAACTTTGTAAATCTGGTACTTTATATATGAAAATTATATGAAATCTAAAACTTATATAAAAAATTACATATAATGTAAAATTAATAAATGATAATTATATTTTAGAATAATAAAAAGTAAACCTCTTTTTAGAATATATTTTTAGAGACTGTATAGGAACTTTTGGTACATCCTGTATGTTCTCAATATGCATTTAGTTCGAATTATTAATAGAAGACATCTGCGCAATAGCTTCAAATAGATAATAATTAATATCATATTCAGAATATATTTTAAAGACATTTTATTTTATGATGAATAAATTTGTTTATTATTATATAAATAGCTTTAAATATTTAGACCAATAAATATTCTTTGTACTCATGATTCAAAGTGTTATATTGGGATATATAACATTTTATATCCAATTAAATTGAAGTGTTAATTGTATTATAATAGGCCTATTGGGCCTAGCTGGGCTTGATCACAAAGCCTGAGCCTGGCCCAATATTTTAATGGGCCTAAAACAGGCCCAGCCCAAAAATTAACGTGCTCAAAAATGTGGACCCAAATCAGGCCCAAACCTGGCCCAGCCCATAAATTTCTGGGCTTAGCCCGGCTCATTCCCAACCCTACTACCTATATCTTACAGTACAAGCTGAAATTCTGGCCTTGATCGTGACTACAGTTGTTAGGCGAAACGTAGAGGTTTCACCACTGGCGAAAGGCGAAACCTAGTTTCGACTTTCGTCAAAAAAAACTAAAAAGACGAAATGGCGAAACTGGCAAAACCTGACAAAACTGGCGAAACTGGCGAAATTGGCGAAACCTGGCGAAACTAGGGAACCCTGACGAAACTGATGAAAACATAACACAACAAAATTGTCCCAGCAGATTCGGGTACCCTTATATCAAGCGAAAATCGACCTCCGACCCTAAAATTTCTGGTCCGGCACCAATAAAATCATGATATCTTGTGTAACAAAACATACAGCAAAAACAGCAAAAAACAAAAAATTCTTAAATAGAGCCAAATTTTATTATGCACCAACTTCCGACTTCTAATTAAAAATGTTTAGCATTAAAATTTACATATAGCACTTAATCTTTCACATCAGATATAGATACTGGAAGGGTCCGATTTTCGCTTGACATAAGGTTACCCGGCAGATTCTTGATTTATTGGCCAAGAGCGACAATAAAATTTGGCTGAAATTTTACAGCCGCTCATTAAATGAAAATTGTTTCTAAGCTAATTTTATCTTTTTGTGGGGTTATTTCTTTGAAAATTTCTATTTTGAGAATAAAAAAGTTAAAAAACGTAATTCCGGCCAGAAATTAGTAAACAGTTATGTAATGTGGGCCGAAATTTTACAGATCTACACCGTTTTTTTGACTGGTGATTTAACTACTATTGCTACAGCTACGTATAGTAATTAAGAATTTTTGCTGCGGCACAACCCTGGCACGGCAGATAATATTTATGGCATTCAGGTACTGCCGTAATACCGTAATTCAATAATTCTACCACCATATAGCTCTAACCCTATATTTACACACAACACATATAATTACGTTAAAAATATTTGTTATATATATAATGTTTATTATTGACAGTCAAATTTTACTATTATAGATAAATAACAGGTTTAAAACTAGCTAAAGAGCATCAGAAAATGAATTTTAATTTTAATAAAGTTAATGAACTACTTACATATATATGGTACTTAATGTTTTTAATGAAATGTTAAAGAGAAAAAAAACAACAATTTAATAATAAATTTATTTAAAATTTAAATTAAAACTTTTTATGTTTATTTACATGAATAATATTAATACATAGATAAGCGATTCTAAAAGAAAATATTTAAGCTTTGAATTTCAAGGCTGAGTATATTTAATTATAAATTCTAAAACCCGTGTTCTAGCTTTCCTTTAATAATTGAATACAAACAAATGGTTATCGTTTTGTTTATTACTTCGTACGGTTTTATGTGAACAACGCGCAAATTATTTTCATCAAATGTTTGAATTCCGATTTTCTTTTAATAGTATTAGAATATAAACAAAAAGCTATTGCTTTGTTTATGCATTTTTTATAAAAGCCACTTGCTGTACTTAATAACTACGCAAAATATTTCATTCATCAACATGGCTTAGTCTTTTCCAAAGTATTAGAGGATTTGATCTTCGCTGAGTTTTGAAGTTTTGCTTTCGCCAGGGGTTTCGCCAGTTTCGTCGGGTTTCGCCAGGTTTCGCCAGTTTCGCCAGATTTCGCCAGTTTCGTCAGTTTCGCCAGGTTTCGCCAATTTCGCCAGGTTTCACCAGTTTCGCCGGGGATTTTCGTCTTTCGTCTTTCGCCAGGTTTAGGTTTCGTCTTTCGTCTTTCGCCAGGTTTAGGTTTCGTCTTTCGTCATTTGCCCAAAATGGTTTCGCCTAACAACACTAATCGCGACTAATTGTCACATATTTTTCATAAATTGATTGATCAAATAAATAACCACACGGTCTTAAAATTTATTATATAGATAATTAATCAACAATTAGCTAAAGAAATTTAGCATTAAAATTTATTATACAAATAATCAATCAATGATTGGTTTGTTAATTTTTTCCAGTCTATTAGTTGATTTTTTTAACTAACGATTTTAGTCAGCTAACACCAAAATCGGTTTTGGATTTTTCATTTGTGAGATTCACTGATTTTGATTGGTTAATAAACATATCGACATTACTTCAACTTTTGCGTAACATTACACAGTCTCATCGTGCAACTATTATATAAAACTCGCATATATATCGATATGGTTCATTTAATAATGATGCATTATCATGTTTTCTCTTGACAAACAAAATGCCGAAAAGCGGGCATTTGTGGATAAGGCAAAGTCAGAGCGTGAAAAACGGGAATTGCAGCGTGTCAAACAAAAACAAGAACAAAAACATGCTCAAGCTGTCGATGTAATACAAACTACATATAAAAAGCATTGTCAGAGAAAGAAAGATGTAAAACATCTACGAGAACTATGGGATATCGATGTCCTATACACTAATGACAAGGGATCAAATCCAACATTTTCTATATCCTCAACTGAAGTTCTTGGTTTTTCATACTTGATGTTTGCTTTCTTCAATCCGTCTGATGATGCAAAAGATCTGTCAAGATTTTCGCATCTTTGCAAGATGATTTTATCAACAACTACTCCTTCAACACCTGCAAAGTCTCAAACACAAAAAACCCTGCAGTCTGTTGCACCATTTCATTCTCTACTGCTTAACGAACGATACAAAGTGTTGATGTTGAAAATCATGAAAAAAATACTTTGGCAATGTGTCATTTGTGTTACTGGTTCTTTGAATGAAACTAATGCTTTAAAATCTTCCAAACCTTTGTATCTCTCTGGTCCAGAATTACGATTACTTATATACTTTCTTGATCCTAAAAATTATATTGCCAAAGGAACAATTGCTTCTTATTCTTCCATGTGGAGTCAGCAACTTGTAATACTTTATGATTATCTTATTCATCAAGGATTTTACAAGCAAATTGGTTATGGAATGATGTTGCGTGTAAATTCCATCCTTTCTTTTCAATCAAGGGCTGTAAAAGCTGAATTAATGGACAATGATAAGAAATTATTAAAATCAACTCATTTATGGTTAATAGCATGTCTTCGATGCTGCTTGTTTTCTTTGGATTTAAATAATGATGTTGACATGACTTTAAATAATTTACAGTCACTCAAAATGTCTAAAAACAATTTACAAGATCGTTCAGTAAATAACCTAAATAATTTTATTTGTTATATATTGACAATCCCTTGTTTGATATCATGCTTTGATGAGATCTGTTTAGGGATGTTCAAAACTTATAATATTTTATCGCGAGCAATTCACACCATGTGTATTCCTGATATTGTCGTCAATATATTGCAAATGATTACAGGTAATGACACTATATTTCTTGCAGGAAATATGGTAGAACTCATGTCAAGAATAGATACACTTTCTCTTCCAAATAACAAAGTTGAAACAACATTTCATAATTTTATCGAATCAATCATTTTTCTATTACAACATTGTCAAAAATATGTTTCTACTAAACAATCTAACACCCATTATCAATATCATCCTGTTTTTACTTGGTATTCTGGGACAACTGACCCAAACATTTCGACGTCTCATTTCAATAGATTAATAATACAACTGGAATATCTATGGCAAAAACCATTTTTACTTCGATCATTTAATCACGTCTTGAATTTTAAATTCGACTCTCAACTTAATAATAATCTCGACTCTTCCAAAATACCATCACAGAAAAAAACATTAATCGACAAAAATTCAAGTTTAACTTCTAATCAAATAACTCTTTTGGCCGTTGAAACTCAAGATATTTGTCGCCTTTATCTTATGCTTTCAAAATTACTTATCATGCAAAAACATGATATCATGATGAACTTGATATTCCTTCCGCGTCTTGTACCTACCTTATGGCAATTTATGATGTGTTTAGGCCCTAAAGGACGAATGAAAATTTTTTTGTCAGAAACTGTAGTTAAAGAACCTGGAAAGGAACCGTTAATCGGGATTTTAGAGTTATTCTGTGAAATTTGTGGTATATTATTATTGTTAGTATAAATTTTTATTATGTAAAATGAATTAAAATTTATTTAATTCGGCTAATGAAATTCTTGTTATTAAATAGAACCATTGATGATAATGAATTATATGAAATACAAACTTCTTTTTCAATTGAACATGATTTGAGACCTATGGCCACATTCTTTAATAAAATTTGCTTTGCCCTTCTTAGTAATTCTTCACCAGATGGTAATCCTCCTGCAATATTTGAATCTGCACGAAGGGTGCTTCTCCAATTGCATTCACGCGACACTAGGCGCGTATTTACTGGCCCGGATCATACTTGGCTTCTTATTAAAGATCCCAAAAAATCTTTACCATTATCTTTAGCAAATTTTCTCAAAAAATCCGTAGTTAATTCCAACAGTTCAATGGGAACTTCATTTTTAGAACGTATTCGTAGTAATGATCCTATTTCCGTAAAAATTCTCAATCTATTACCTCATACTATCCCTTTTGAGACCAGACTCGATATTTTTCGTGAATTCTTGCAAACTGATGATTTTTACATCAATGATTCGTCGGATATTGTAATAAAAATTAGACGCGATCATGTGTTAGAAGATGGATATAAGCAATTAGGAAGATTAACTGCAACGCAGATTAAAGGCCGAATTAGAGTTATGTTTGTAAATGAAACTGGTATTTATATTCAGACCTCCATTGGAGATCGTTCATAAAGGAATACTCTTTATATAAACATAAATTGAATATTCTTTATTCTTATAGGTATGGATGAAATTGGTGTGGATCAAGGTGGCCCGTTTAAAGAATTTATTACTCAACTTATGGCTGAAGGTATGTGTATAATAAATTCATTTATAGTAAATGATGATTAACGTGGTGAGTTAATGTTTAGCATATTAAATAAATTCAGCTTTCGATCCAAAATGCGGCTTCTTTGCTGTTACTCCTGATGGCTCTCTTTATCCCAATCCTCATAGTACATCTACAAAATTACCACTATATACTTTTTTGGGTCGAATGATTGCAAGAGCAATGAAAGAAAAAATCTTATTAGACTCTCAATTTGCGGAATTTTTTTTAAGTAAGATTTCCGGGCGAGCAGTATTTTTGGAAGACCTTATCGGTTGGAATGATGAATTATGGAAAAATCTAATATTTTTGAAGAGATATGAAGGTGTGTAATATTTTTATATTAGTCCTTTCCTTTTATTTACTTATTTATTTTTTTATTTCTAAATCTGGTTTAATTTTAGGCAATGTTGAAGATTTAGGTTTATTTTTCGTAATAGATGAAGAGATTAATGGGCAGATTACGTCGAAAGAGCTTAAATCAGTACGTGCTTATATTTGTATGTACAAGCTTTAAATTTAATGCTAATGTATTTTTTAATACAGGGTGGTTCACATATGACTGTTACAAATTACAACAAAATTCAGGTTTGATTTGACACTAATTTGTCATCTTACTAGTTAATTATGACAATAATTGTAAGTTATAGCAACATCATCGTAAATGTAGTATATCTACCTTGTGGCAGATTATAAATTGAATAAACAAATCAAGGAACAAACGGAAGCATTTATCAATGGGTTTGTATTTAAACAAAAGCATCCATATAAAATAACGAATAATTCTTGATTTTAATGATATTTGATAATGCTTCCTTAGTTTTCAATCAATGATACCAATAAATCGACTTAGAATGTTTTCACCACCAGAGTTGCAACGGTAAAAAAAATTTTTTATTAAAACTGATTTATTACTATTACTGAATGTCAATTCTCTTAATATTAATTTAACCAGTGTGATGTCAGGAGAAGACGTTAATTGGGGTAATCTTAAGTTTTTACAGCTTATCCTATTCTGCGGGTCAATAACTTACTATGTACCATATCTCCCTTTTCTAAATAGACATAGCGGATTTACGCAAACATACTATTTACCAATCTGGATATTTTGATCAGCATAAAACTATCAGAACTCTTTGGTCGATATTAGAAGAGTTTGGTTCCAAAGATAAAAATGCATTTTTAAAATTTGTCACAAGTTGTTCGAGGGTATTTTTTTTTTACCTTAATATTTACAGATTATATATTCAAAATTTGAAACAATTTCTAATTAGAGTCTCCTGTTTTAGCCACCGCTTGGCGGGTTTAAGTAAAGTGATTTTGTTTAATTTCAATATTAGTAATAGATGTATGTTTAATCACTATCATTATAATGATTTACTAGGTACTTACAACCACCATTTACTATCCGCATGGTATCGATGGAATATGATGATTCTGACTCACGTCCTGTCCTTGCACCAGTTAAAGCATTTTTTAGTTTTGGAAATTCCAAATCAGCAGCTAAAGGAAGATTACCTACTAGTTCTACATGGTAAATATTTCATGTTTTTGCAATGAAAGTTTTATTAAATAGCTTGGATTATCAATATTTTTTATTATCTATATTTAGCTTTAATTTACTGAAGCTTCCAGGTATTTTTTTGTTTGAATATTAATTTCGCGGATCATAATGAAATCAGGGTTTCCGTTTAACTCCTAAAACCAACTTATACATATAAATTCTACCCCTAAAGCTAACCCCTAAACCTAAAAAAAACCTTAAACAATGCACCGTATTTTTCAGTGACTTGTTTATTTTACATATACAAAATTTCATTTTAGTCCGCCACAATAATTATTTAATGAATTTTATTAATAAATTGATAAATTTATTAATTTCTTGATTATTATTTTTAGCTTATTCTCAGAAATCAATTTTAAAAGAAAAATTGAAATATGGTAAGATATTACTAGTCATAGCTTGCTTATGTTAATTATGTATATTGATTGACATCTAATTTTTGCTTAGCTATTCATTCCAATACCGGCTTTGAACTTACTTAATTCGGATTATACTAGATCTAATGGCCAGCTCAAATAAAGCTAGTAAGAATAAAAAATCACAATTTTAAATTAGCAAAAACTGATGAGAAATAGGAATTTGGAATGAGATATAAAAATTTTTGATTCCATATCAATTTATTACGATGTTGAAATGTACTAAAGGAAAAAAATGTCTTGAAAAGATTATCCCTCAAACCGTTTAAAATTCAGGGCAAATTTGTTTTGAATTTAACTATAAAAATGGCTCTGATCTATTTTTTTTAATATTTAAATAAAATTTAACATAATATTTTGAAAATAAGGATTATATTTATGTAGTATTTATATTTATATTATAAGACAAAAAATTTCAGTTGCTTATAAAACAAAAATAAATAAATTTATAAAAAAAATTAATTAAAAAATAATTTACAATTTTTTAGTAAACTCTTTAAATATTGATATCAAAAATATAATTTATATAAAATATAACAATTTTTATTATTAACTTACAAGTTATTTACCTGTAAAAAAAATACACTTGCATTATAAGTAAAAAAAGTTTATATAGTTGAAATATAAAATTTTAAAAAATTTCTAATGCATAAAAATTTTAAACTAAAAATTTTAAATTTTTATTACTCAAATTTTTTAATAATTTAAAAAAATTTTTTTAAAACATATCTTTTATTTAAAAACTATACTGCTAAAATTAATATTTAAAATTTTATCTTAAACAAGTAAAGTTATTGTTATTTAAGGGTAGGGGGTAGTAGTTTAAAATTATATATAAACCTAATGGTAATTTTTTTTTATATTTAATTTTATAAAAAATTATATTAAGTAAACTAATTTTAATTTATAAGAAAAGTTTGTAGAGTAGGTTTTTCTGATTCTAATGATAGTAAAATCATTAATATTGAGTAAAAACTCAGAAAGATATGACTTTTTAAAGATTAGGTATAAAAATTTATTAATTAAGTTAACTTATAGGGTTATGTAAATTAACCAATCAAATCTAATATTTTGTGTAACTCCAGAAATTTTGGAGAACCCCAGAAAACTTTGTAATATATACAAGTATTTTTTTTAAAATAATACAATACTTCAAATTTTTACTATAATAAATAAATAATTTTATTTATAATATTATAAAATTTTTTTATTGATTATTTAAAAAATAAAAAATTTTTATTAGTAGCATATATCAATTTTAGATGAAAATTTTAAAATACTACACATTTCTATATAGAAATGATCTACATTACCTCCTATCCTTAAAAACTATACTGCTAAAATTAATATTTAAAATTTTATCTTAAACAAGTAAAGTTATTGTTTATAAAGTTAATAAATATATTTTTTAAAGTTTATAAGTACAATTGTTTAATTAAAAAATTTCTAAAATGTTGAAGCTGTGTATATTAATTTTAGAAAAAGTAAAAAATGTATATAAAGAATGTTAATAGTTGTTAAGTATAAGATCAATATAATTAGCATTAAGTTTAAGGTTATTAGAAGTTTTTCTGATTAAAAAGATTATAAAAAAAATTGCTAATAGATTAATAGTACATATTTGATTAATTCTATTTAAGTTAAGATAAAATTCAGTATATGGTTTGCATTCAATAGACAAAAATAAATAATATTAGTTATAATTTAAATTAATTTAAAATATAAGTATTAAATTAGTGCATTATTGGATACATATATTAGATTACTATTATAGTCATATTAGAAACCTTTTGATAGTTATCAGTATACTAATATTTTTCATATATTTTTTTGTTGAACTTATTACTAATATATAAGATTACTTATTTAATATAATAATAATAATTAAAAAAATAGTGATCTTACTGTAGTGGTTGGATTGTTATTCTTTAAGTAGTAGATTTAAAATTCAAATCTCATTTATAATGAAATTTGAAAATTAATTTGTGTTATAAAAATTATTTTCTATTAATTAGTTGGCCTTATGCAGCTATAATTTAAATATATCAAGTTAGGTCTTATTAGTCATTAGAAGCTTAGGTTATCTATGCAAAATATAATATTATATATATATAGAGAAATGTTAATAATCAGTATTGCATAAAACATTAGTACAAACTCATAATAAGACTACTAGATACAAAAGACTAAGGAAATAAGAAAATAGAATTTTACTTAAAAATTTCTGAGTAAAGAAGCATAAACTTTTGATAATACTGTTGAACTAATAAAAGTTTATAAAAAACCTTTATTGAAATAAGTAAATAAACTAAATAACAAAATATATAGAGAAGCATATAATTAACTAGAATGTCAGAATCGACCAAAAAAAATACTAAAATATATTATATTAGGCTATCTGAATTAGAAATTTGAAGAGTTCTGTTAGTTCTGAATTGTAGTTAATAAAAGATAATAAAAAAGATGTTAAGAAGATAAATACCAGAGTTTGGATAAATTTTACAAGAATAAAAATAGTGTAAAGTAGTAGTTTATAATTAGCCTTGACTGCAAGTATTAGATAACTATAATATGTTATAGAAAACTAGGTTAGTTGTATATAGAACACAAAAAGCTTTAGTAATAATGCTTTTAAGAATACACTGCATAAAATAAGATATGAGATATAAGTAAGCATCTAAATCTTCTTAACTAACATATATATTAGAAATAATCTAGTAATATAATAAAGATTGCAATACAGAATATTTAAGTAAACAATACTCTTAGTTGGATTGCAGATATAATAGTTAGCATAAAACTATTAAGCAGACTACTTAAATTAGATATTAAAATATATATATGACTAGTTGTACTTTTTAATATAAAGCCAACTTCTTTAAGATTTCAGCTATGAATTTTTATATTTTAATTACTGAATAAAAAGTTTTAGTTTTAAAAAAAATTAGTTTAATAAAAAAAATAAAAATAAAAATAAAATAAAATAGTAATAATAATTAGTAAGAATACTAAACTTTAATAATTAATGGATTGGATTTATCTATACTAGTAGTAGTATATTGTACAGATCTCCTTTAGTATAGGTGGGCATATATAAATTATTACAAAATTATAATATATAAAACTCATCTAATTTAGACCAATTTATATTATAACTCTAACTCTGACCCTAACTATTTGTAAATTTACTTAAATTAATTCAAAATAGTTAATTTATATATATTATAATTAAATAATAAACATATTTGCTCACTTATACTAAAGATCAACCCATTGTACTATATTATAATAAAAAAAAATAAATTTCTGCTTATTTAAATAAATTAATCAGGTTTCAAATAATAATATATTACTTATTATTATTTTTTTTTTGGTATTAAGATGACCTCTTTAGTCTTTTAACTTTTATTAAGCACTTATCAGTATTGTAGTTCAATAAACCACTACAGGAGAGAGTACAATTGGCTACATGTGTAACTTTTCTATATTACCTATTTAAAAAGTCTGCCTAAAGGTTCCTTACTAATTGCTATATCTAATACCTCTGCTTGGGTGTTCTACTTTAAACCTTTTGAATTAGTAACCTATGTTAACTTATTGGGTTATACCAAGATACCCAGATTATCATCTCAACCTTAAGACTAATTTATCTTTAAGATAAACCCTCTAGAGCCTTCTGTACCCTCTTTTACAGCTGACTTAGGTATTGTTATGGCAGAACTAACACTTGTAGTTAGGGCTAACCATTGAACTACTATGCTCTTGTAGAGTTTACTTAGATCTTAGCATCTACTTCATAGCATAACCCTGGTACTTTAGTATACCTTTGCTTTTTCACTAGCCTTTTTACTAAACTTCCAATTCAGATAGCCTATGTAGAACTATGACCAGTCTATTGGTATATCGAGTTAGCTTAATATTCTTTTTCTCTAGTTTGTTCTGGTGGTCAGTTTGGTGTTAACTCTGAGACTTTCAACTTAGAGGTTCTTGCCTGTCTAACTATTACAACCAGGTACTACAACCTTGGTATCTGTTTATTTAGACTAGTCTTTACAGTAGGGCTGTCGAAGATTCAGCTACCTTTCTACTCAAGTCTTCTCAAATGGACTTCTTGTTATCCAATTTCAATGGATTTACACAGCTACAAGAACTTATCTAGTGTTTGCACCATTCAATTTGTTAGTTTGCATTCCTTTGTATAATGCCATACTTACACAGATGTCATATAACCTGCCAGTCATGCTGGTGTAACTGCCATTACAGATATTCTAATCCAATCATTAGTAACAGTTATTGTAATATGAATATTACATAGGTGATTATCTAAATTTTCACTGTCGATAGGATTTGAACATTTAATCTACCACTTAATGGGTTGACAACCTGACCACTTTACTAGGTTGCTACACCTCTTATATTACTTATTATAACAATTATATATTATAATAATTCTTATAGATTTTTTAGAGTTATATATGGGCATCAATGATATACTATATATGTAACATAAAAATGATCAAGTAATGTGAAGATGATCAAATAATATGAAAATGATCAA